AGGGGAAGGGTACTGCAAAACCCCCATTCCCTCCCCACTCCTGGGAGAAAATTACTGCAAAATCCCATTCCCTCCCCGGCCCACTAACCTGCTTTCCAGCTCCATTCTCCTGGGCAGGGAAACCAAAGAAGACCCAGCCAATCAGCTGGGACTCAGGAGGCAGAGAATAGATGGGGTTGGCAGGGCCAGTCAGAGGTGGGATTGGCTGGATCTCCCAACTACTCAAAATTTCCACTAGTGGTTCTCCAGAATCGGTCACAACCAGCTGAATACCACCTCTGGTTTTCACCAGACAATTCCTGAACCTGAAAACTTGATACAATTCTTGTACAGATCAGGAATAGTTAAAAAAAAATACTACCCTGAAGGAATAATAATAATAATAAATCCAGTTTCTCTGATTCTGCAATTTGGCAAGCGGTTAGAAGAAACTTTCTGAGGGCATCATGGATGCGCCAACTTGATTCTTAATTTGTATGCTAAGTCCCACTTTGGCTGTGTCCAGCCTTACTGTGACTCCTCACATTCTCAATTAAAAAAAACACAACACACTGTAATCCTTCTTTTGAATTTCTTAAGCTCTTCCCTTGAATTACGTAACAAGGCAACGCGACTGATTCGAGATTTAGAGACTTCCTCCCTCCCCTTTCAAGAAACCTTGCAGGAGAAGTAATATTGCATCCTAGGGATAAAGACTTCAATTAGTAAATCTTCCCGTTAGCTTTTTTTTTTTTTTGAAAGGCTTGATTACAGTTTAAAAATAGAGCTGCATTTAATTGGATTTGACCGTTTGGCTTCGCCTAAATGCAGCCATTGAGTCCATTGACTCGTTTCCAGTTAGCTTTTTTTTGACGATCCCTGTGGCCTCCTTCTGGTCCATGATATCTTGTAGACAACCTGAAACTTCAGCGATGTTCAGGGACAGCCTTCCCATCTGGTGTCCTCCATCTGGGTTGAACTGTGGTTCTCAGAACATCTGCAGAACCTGGAGGGAAGAAGGTATACAAATGATACCTCCCTCTACCTCCACATGTAGGTAAGGGGAGGTATCCCTGCTTTTTCTTTGAGGATGCGAGGATTGACCTAAGATACGGTGATGTGTCAATGTTGGCTCAACCAGCTGTCTTCTCTTCCTCCTCCTTCTTGAGTAATGCCACCTCCACGTTTCCCATAAGACGTATCTCGCCTTCTTTTCCTTCATCCTCATTCGGATTTTGGATAATACCTCATCCAGATTCATTTTTTTTCCTGGGTTGGTCTGTTGTACATTTTCCAAGAAGACCATCATCCCATTTTGGAGTTGGTTCTCTCAAACAGCCTTCAGGAGAAACTCCCACATCCCAATAATGTATTGCATTCCATTCAGGGAAACAGACATTTCTCTTTGCAAATATTTTTAACGACTTTGAAAACTCCAGAACATGTTTTCAAGTTGGAGAGGCATCAGCCAATTCCCTTGGTCCCAGCACAGCTTGTGAATTTAGCTGGATTAAGTGACCAAACCAGAAATTACATTCATATGCTTCAATCTGCTTAGGAGCCCTCCTGAAAAAGACGTCCTCTTCCCTTCCATTGTTTTTATGTCAGGGTGCCTTTCCATGCGTTTCCTGATGCTCAGGAATCAGGTGTTGTCAGGAGAGGACCGAGAGTTCTTTGAAGAGGAAAGGATGGAGCTGAGTCAACACAATAGTTCAGGGATTTCGGAGCAGATTTATTTATTTATTTATTTATTTATTTGATTTGCCAATTGTTTACAAGATAATAAGTATAAATGTATACATAGTTGTGAATACATGAAATGGGTACATATAAGAAAAGTAAAAGAATAAGAGAAACAATAGGACAGGGACGGTAGGCACGTTGGTGCGCTTATGCACGCCCCCTAAACTATAAACTATAAACTAAACTTTAAACTATCGTCTTCTTCTGTAACAAATATGTAGTAAGCAATTTTTCGGCTGGAAATGAAGGTCCAGACCAGAGAGTCTTTTGAAGGTGAGAGATGAACTTTCATAAAATAAAATCAGGACAACTCACTTATAACAGCCTTGCTTAACAATGGAAATTCTGATTCCCATTGTGGTCGTAACTCAATAATTATTTGCATTTATTAACACCAATATTGCAGAAAGTTAGGGTGGGGGTTTACTGAATTCCTTGGCTAACTTTCTTTGGAAGAGAGCTGGCCCTATTCTAAGTAGTTAACCTGTCTCTTTCCTAATTTGCAATTCTGATTCACAATTTGGAAATTCAGCCCATTTTTTCCCCTCCAGCATAGCTACTGCTTGTACAGGGAAAAGAGACTACATTGTTCAACATTTCCCCTTCTCCCCAGCGTAAAAACTCATCGAGGGTTTTAATTTGAACAGTGTGAAATGGGAATTCTCCATCTTGCAGGGTTTAGCAGTTTTATCACTCAGTGTCCCAGACGGACAATGGTCTACCCCTTGAATAGTTCTCATGCTGTTCAAATATCACTCCCCCCCTCCCTCTTTGGCAGCTTCCCATTCATAAAGGGAATAAAAAAAAATGTCTTTCTCTCTCTCTCTCTAAAGCCCATTTCCAAACAATGCAGACACTGCATTTCTCAAGAAATCAGTTGGTTTTCCAAGCATTGGTGATGAAGTGTAAGTTTTCAGAAATGTCCTGCTGGTTTGCTCTTTGGAAAGCCCGTGTTTAAGCAACAAGAAAGAATCTGATGATAATTTAATCTGCTAAGGGACAAAGCCCTTCTCTGTGGCATTTGCTGCTCCTGCCTTGCCAAGCTTTCAACACCTTATTTGTCTCTGTATCGCAAGCACTTCTTTTGTGCAATCCCCAAATTCTGAAAAGTGCAGATATTGTGGGGTGGGGGGGGGAACAGACCCCCTATCTGTGTGTGTAAGTTGACGGATGTTGGGGTCATGGTCAGATTGCGTCTTGGTTTTGGGTTTATGGTTTGAGTCCAAGTTAAATGTCTCCATATTCCCCAAAAATGCACAATACAACACAGCCAGTATACAACACAATGCAGAATGCAACAGCGGTTTAAGAAAAGGTGGGGTTTTTCAATCTAAAAAAACAAACAAATAGATAAACAAATATATTTGCCCAAATAAGCAAGAATATATTAGCCTAAAGGCAGGAAGACAGTGCTGGGAAAGAGTGACTAACAGTGAAGGAATTATGTGCCCCTGCAGTCATTATTCTATTAATTGTAAAATATTTCACTCTCATCACCTATTTTTCTGTGTGGCTCAGAGGATTTAAAACCGAGCCAGAGCAAAGGTGGGGAATTGATTTCCTTGGCTGTCCATGGTATTTTCAGCAGTCTTGGCTCCAAGTTCAAAGTTTAAAGGCATCAATAACCTTCCCATCATGCTTTTTAACTAAGTCCAATTTTGGCTTCCATAGAGACTCGCGCGGGAATACCATAGTTTGCACGATTCTGAGATTGCACAATTCAAGATTGTTCATACTACTTTATGTATCAAGATCTGCTTTTCTGGGAAACGTCATCTTGTAATTCAGATGGAATGAATTTTGTAAGCCTCGTAAGTGAAGGGTAAGTTGCAGGCTGAGCGATGCAGGGAGATCTCAAAAAGAGAATTAAAGATGGGAGGGGAAAAGCATGTAGAGGTAATTTTGTTTCTGATGGAATCTGGGGATCTTCTCATTGGCTATTTCTGCCCATGAAGTCTGTCTCAAATGAACTTCAGGTCCAAATATTTGAAGAGAACAATTTGCTGATTGCTATTGACAAGCTTAATCTGTGGTGACTACACAACCAGATGTTGATGTATGTTCTGGCTTTCAGATACAGAATATCTCTGCAAAATTTCATTATTAACTTTTGAATCCTAGCTCCATATGCATGCATATACCACCCCCTACATATCTACCATCAATTTTAAAAGCTTGCCACTGCACTGAATATAATTGGCAATTTGCTGATGATAATCCCTGCCTTGGACAATATGCTATCCCTCCTTTCCTAACAAAATTAGGAGAAACAAGAAATGCAGCTATGGGTTTTTCCTACAGATGAAAGATGCTGTTTTCCCCACGTCAGGGATTGAAGTCTATAGAAGAGAGCTTTTGTTCATGATCTTATCTTCCAGTGATTGGGTTTATCACCTGAAACGCCCAAAGATTTATTTCAACTTTCAAGAAGAAGTGATTCTGTTTAAGGGAATGTGGCCTTAGAAAGATTAATTGAGAAAAACCTTTGAGACCTTCAAGCACAAATATTTATAGTTTTACTGAGAGGTGATAAGTGTTGGACTCAAAACATTTTCCTTGCATAGTAACTGTTGTACCAGATAACCTTTTCCCATTATAGTTGTGCTTCTATTTTCTCTTTTTCTGATTCCTGGTTCAGCTACGACAATGATGGAAGGATCATCCATGGTCCATATATCTAGCTGTCTCAGCACCATCTGAAGTTCTGGTGCTGAAAAGGAGAAATTTCATCAATGACTCATCAAGAAATGCATACCTTATGAGATCCATAAGCTCATATCATGATAAGAAGCTTCCTGCGGAAATATGTAAAGATGTGCAAAGTTAAGCGGAGCCATTTATAGAAGGAAAGATTTGAGATACTGGGCAAAACCATTTGCCTATCCTTATAAGCACCTTCCATCCAAGAAATAGTTGGATCTAGTCTTGTAGGACAGAAGAAGGTAGAGCTAAAAACAGTAGGAATGGTAAAGTCAGTACCATGGACAGTTCACAAGAGATGATAGTAGTATTAAGGACAACAAACAGATACTTGAAAGGTTACTCTTACTAAATTCAAGCATCTACTCTACCTGAAAGATTGTGGCTCACGATTATGTTATTGTTGAATCCTCACAACCACAGAGATGGATTTTCTCCATGACCGTCTACTACTAATTTGCTCTTCCAGGTCTCCCAATGGGACACTCATCACCACTGTAACTGTCCACCTTGCTTTTAATTATTGCTTTCTTTAATTCTTTGCTTTCATTCATATTTTCTTCTCGTTGTTCCTACAGCACTACGGAGTCGATCAGGACGTGCCATTATCAATGGGAATTGGGCAATTGATCGACCTGGGAGATACGAAGGAGGAGGAACAATGTTTGTCTATAAACGACCCAACGAGATCTCAAGTACTGCTGGGGAATCCTTTTTAGCAGATGGCCCAACCAATGAAATATTGGATGTCTATGTAAGAATCAAAGATTTCAGATAATAATTTTGTTTCTTTATTGAACTGGAGAAACCATCCTTAACAATTAGAAGTTAGGAAATCATTTACTCATTGATAAAATAGTTTTCTAGGTTAATTTTTCATTTGGATATCTTGAGAAGGAAGTCAGAGACCTGGGCAGGTGTGTGTGTGTGTGTGTGTTTATTCATTTATAATGTAGGGTCAGACTTGTCTCAACTTGAACCTTTAAGCAAGAATGATTCTTAACTCCGTTTGTTAAGAAAGTTATAGTTTACTAAAGATCAAGTGAAATACAGTAGAGCAAAGTCAGGACGGAAAAGCATGGCAAATTCCTAAATGTAACTTAGTGGCAGTTCTGACTCCTAGTCTTTTGATGGGTACATTTGTTTATTTTATTTTATTTTATTTACTAAACCTATGTGCTTCCTATCTCTGGACTTGAGAAGGGGGCAGAAAATTGTGAAGATGAATAAAGCTACATTTTTTTAATGGAGTTAATGTCCTTAAGATCACCACCAGGGATAAGAATGTCTGTTTTGCTTAACAACCAAGTGCCCAGTCTTAACTGTGGTTGCTAAATGAGATTTACCTGTAGTTTACATCTTTTTGTGGAGTTGGTTTCCTGATCTGGTCTACCTGGGTTTGTGCATTGGAGTCAACTCAATGAATGTGAGGCTTTTCTTCCTTTCACAGATGATTCATCAACAGCCCAATCCAGGTATACATTATGAGTACATTATTCCAGGTCCCAACACCATCAGTTCCCAGGTGCCTCTTCACAGACGGCCAGGTAAGATGATTTTCACTTTGTCTTGATTGGCAGGGATTTCTTAAACAAGGCATTTTCCCATCCTTTTAATGGCAGGAAAGGGTTTTCTTTGATGCATCCCGTAAAACTATCTTTAAAAAGAAAATATCACATTTGTCCCACTGGGCTTTGCTTTTTTTTCTTGGAGACATTTCACTTCTCATCCAAGAAGCTTCTTTAGTTCTGAAGCTTTTTCCAGTTGAATCAGAACTGAAGAAGCTTCTTGGATGAGAAGCAAAATGTCTTCAATGAAAAACAAAGTCCAGTTCCTTTTGAAAAAGCCCCTTTGGGACAACCGTGACTTGGATGACTGAGAATCTCCACAGACATCACACTTGTCATTGTTGCTTTTAGGGTGCCACAAACTCGATAGCTTTATCAAAAGATTATTTAGGAGGCTCATCTACCTGCTCAATCCACCAGGTTTGGTTTCTCTAGCTTTTCCAAGGTTATTTGTTTGTTTCACCTACACTCCGTGAAAGAATTAAATGCTTCCGAAAGGTTATTCTGTGGTCTTTCTGGATAGTTCTGCACAATTCTCTACATGCAAAATAAATTTTTATCCTTATAGATAAAACAGATTTTATTCATGGAAAATAAAGGGGGGGGGGAAAATAGGATGAGGGAAAAGGCCTTTTAAAAAAAATTCTACCCAACTTCTCAGTGTATTTTCATAAAATGCGTCTTTCTCCCAATTTTGGGGTAGAATAAAGAGCACATTTTTTTCTCACACCAATTCTTTCCCCCTTAATTGCCAGCTATTTAGCTGGTGTGTTTCCCATTGTTGCTTCACGCCAGAATGCTTTAACTGAATGCTCTGCGCTATTGTAAGATCAGTCAAAGAACAAACGTTCAACTTTTCAGCCTGGTGACAAATAGAATATCTGATTCTAAACAGTTCATGGCCTTTGCATCTTTCAAAACCATCCTGGTGCTTTGTGGTTCACTGCTACAAGAAACCTCTGAACTTAGCTGGTCGTCCCCCCACCCCCCAAGTCCTGAGGAGCTCGGGGCCGTTTGTATTCTGGCTAGCTCAGGGCTGAGAAAGAAATGCTCCTTCTTGTGATGTGATTGACCTCATGTGCCTAGGGGAGCCATTCAATGGCCAACTGGACGTGACAGAAACTGTGAATTATGAGGAGGAAGATTTGCATCAGGAGACGAGCAGTCACCCAAGACAACCAGGGATGAGTCAGCCTGCAAGATTTCCCTCCCAAGTTCCAGACAACCAAGTCCCGGTTGGCCAGCCTCCGCGACGTAGCCGGGAACACAACTGGAAGCAAATTGGAACAACCGAATGCAGCGCGACTTGTGGGAAAGGTTTGTAGCGGCGAACTCACCGATCTGACCTTACAAAGGCTTCCATCTGCCAAGGGCCAGAAGTGGAGGAGGTGGAGAATTTAGCTCTCGATTCATTTATTTATTCAATTTCCCTAAATGCCCATCTCTGCCAAGTGATTCTGGGTGGCTTCCAACTCTAGAATTCTAAAACAGTTAAAACAATGAAAACAGGCAGAAAAGACACACAAACAGCAGCCAAGATAGTTAAACAATTAATGGTGGGATCAAGAAACAGAGCCCTCAGCAGATCCTGATCCCCAGGCTTGGGTACATAGCCAAGTTTTTTAAGCCTTACGAAAGACTGACCATGTTGGAGCACCAAACAGTGTCAGATCTCCCTTTCTTAATATTTGGGATATCTTCAGGGCCTCCCAACGCCAGCTGTCATTTCCCCTCCCAAATAGAATTCTTGATTGTCCAAGTGTGATTGGACACACAAGGAATTTGTCTTGGTGCAAATGCTCTCTGTGTACATAAAAGAAAAGATACATTCATCAAGGGTCCAAAATCATCAGGTACCACACTAAATAAGAGTTATAGCATACAATAAGCAATCAAATCATACTAGGAAAGAGTCAATAAAAATCATTGGGATACAAGCAACAAGGTTACGGTCATACAGTCACAAGTGGGAGGGGATGGGTGATAAGGAGTGATGAGAAGATTAACAGTAATAGTAGTGCAGACTTTGTAAATAGTTTGACAGTGTTGAGGGAATTATTTGTTTAGCAGAGTTAAACATTAAGGCGTTAGGGAAAAAACTCCCCTTGTGTCTAGTTGTTCTGGTGTGCAGGGCTCTATAGCGTCGTTTTGAGGGAAGGAGTTGAAACAGTTTTATGTCCGGGATGTGAGGGGTCTGTAGATATTTTCACAGCCCTCTTTTTGACTCATGCAGTATACAGGTCCTCCATGGAAGGCAGGTTGGCAGTAGCTGTTTTTTCTGCAGTCATCTAATTTACTGAAGGTAAAATCATCTCGGTTACTGAAGGTTGACTTCACGAGGAAAAATTTCAAGAAATTTTCTGCTGGGAAATTTTCCTGATGATGTAATTCCATTTGAAGTTTAGGTCTTTCTAGAAATTTTTCTTTTTTCAGACCTGAGGTGAAGAATTCCCTTCTTGGCCAAGGGTCCAATGCTTGAATGGAAGACTTGCAACCTTCCTAGAAAGGAAAGGCTGAGCTACCTCTCTGTCCCCATTGGCCAAATCCAAAGCAGCTGCCAGAATTGTCCACATTTTGGACCCAGTCTATTCCAAAGACTTTGGGGCAGGTTTTCCTTTCCCCAGTCATGCCCCATCCCTTGAGTTCCTCAGTTGGTCATTCTTGGGAACGTTGGTGGCTGTGGAAATAAGATTTGCTAGCCCCTGGGATATTTTTATGGCTTTGATAGAAGCAGCATGCTGAGAGAGGAAACTATAGCAGAAGAGGAACTGTGGAGGCTGGCCAAAACTTCCGTATTTTCTGTAAACTCACTCTGGAGGAGAAAAATAGCCCTCGAAGCAAAATGATTGCAAATTAGCTTTTGGGAAGCAGGAAGGTTTCCTGGTTGAGTACACCGCTGGATATATTGCATTTGGCTTTGGCAGAAACTTCCCTTTTCATTTCCTTTGTGAGTAAATCGGGCCTGGTTTTTTCATGGCCTGTCAAGCAGTCCTTAGGACCAACTGGGAAAGCCAATTTCTCTCCCGACTCCACCAATCCTCACTGTGAATGAAAGGACCTTGGGAAATACCTCGTGAGAGTTTGAGGGGATGGAAAATAAAACACACACACTGAATGGACAGCTTGGCTTCATTCGTTCTGCGATGCCCAGGGTCTAAGGCATGAATAAGTAACTTGTCAGGATTCCGACAGTTACCCCAATTAAATCATGAGTCTCGAGCCAAACTTCCAAAATTTTAAAAAGGATTTATTAGGAGTAAACATGTCAGGCGCTGCCTGGGTGCAGCTGACTCTGAGGCACATAATTCAGTCACCCTTGACCCTGGTTTTCCCCTCACCCCCTGGGTGTATCATACAGTAATTCATCTTCTCCAATGGGACACCTCCATAGCCAAAAGTCATCAATCATGCTTTCCAGTTAGATCTTTGTGCGGCAGTAACTTCAGTCACCTGGTTACTATCTTTGAAAACATTTATGGAATGCAGTTTTGGCTTTCAAGCTGCCGCACTGCTCCCCCCTCCCTTTCAGTTGGCAATTCTAAAAAGACTAGAGAAACATTTTATGAGTTGACATAGCTGACAATAAGTGACCGAGATAAGACCTCCAAAAGCCACAGCCAGCGTGGCCCATGTGGGGAGATTCGGAGAGTTGTGAGTTCAGCAACCTTCCAAGTCTCCTCCAGAGAGTTGGGCCTTCATATCACATGTCCAGAGTAGGATCATTTGAACCCTGGTCAAATTTGAACCTAATTAAGTAGGCCTTGCACTACCATTCTGAGTTGACACTCTTCTCACAAAGCTCGTTGCATTTCATCACTGAGCATCTTGCACAATGCTCCCAATGTTCCACAGCCCTCAAGGTTCCTCCTTGTCTTGTGAGAACTGCAACCTTGTTGTCAAAATCTACTTTGCAGTTGGCCTGGATTCAAGAGCATGTCATATTTTGACTGGGGAGACAATCCAACTTGGTCCAGATTCCTGCCCTGGAGAAATTGGCAACGCAGAGAAACTTCTCTGGTTTAAATTCAGGAAAAGGGCTTGGTTCCAAGGACTGCTGTGAGAAATTATATATATTTCTTTATATACATACATACGTATGTATGTATGTATATATATATATATCTGTATGGTATTCAGCTTTGTTCGGGTATTTTCCCA